GTGAGCATATCTGGGCTGTCCATGGGCATGAGTCAGTAGCTGGGTGAGTTACCAGAGATAGAGAGGGACCACTGTGCCCAGCTGGCAGAGGCATAGGTGAGCCTGAGCTCAAGTCCCGTTCCCCATACTCAGCCCCACGTTGGGTGCCATATGTGCAGAGCCAGCACGGCCACCGGTGAACCTGAGAGGGGGTGGTGAAGGATGGAGAAACGACAGACAAAAGAATGAAGCTGGGTCTGGGTAAGACACTGTACTCTCTGATGGAGAGACAGCGCCATGGCCTGCAAGCCAAGTCTTAGTTTCACAGCAGATGCCACCAGGCTAAGTAAGGGCATGGTCAAGATCTTTACCATGTTCTCCTGAGTTTTGAATCTACTCAATTGCATGAACATGATCAAGCTTTGTTTACTTGCTGCACCACCCGCAGCCCATACCACTTAGCCACGTGGGACCACAAGTTCAGACCGTAAGGTCAAGCTTACAGCCACAGCCTTTGGCTGTAATTGTGCTAGGACTTGCACGTCGCTTTGCCAACTGAGGACAGTGCCCTCTCATTTGTCCCAGGCTTGAACCTGTCCGCATGCTGTAGCCGCTCTCCACAGGTCACATTCATATCACTTTTATTACAGTTCAGTATGTGGACAGGAAGGACTGGCCGACTGTATTCATTGAAAAAGTCCGTGTGTAAGAACACCTACACAGGTGCAACTGGGGTTGTTCGAGCCAACTGTAGTTGAATGATCTCAAGGTACAAGGGACTCCCTAGACTCACAGAGAGAGACAGGTAGAGCTGAGGTCGAGAGACTTGGGAGCCCCAAGTTGCCAGCTGGAAGGCCTGTATACCTCTTTAAACCACAGAGCTCTCATGAACAGATGGAGTTTCATAAGCCCGTGGTCGGCAAACTGCGGCTCGCGAGCCACATGTGGCTCTTTGGTCCCTTGAGAGTGGCTCTTCCACAAAACACCACGGCCTGGGTGAGTCTATTTGGAAGAAGTGGCGTTAGAAGAAGTTTAAGTTTAAAAAACGTGGCTCTCCAAAGAAATTTCCATCGTTGTGCTGCTGATATTGGGCTCTGTTGACGAATGAGTTTGCCGATCACTGGCCTAGGCCATCTTTACGTTTCACTCAAAAAAAATGTCCTCCCCCCTGAAGAAGGTACCTTGCCCAGGGGCCCTGAGCTTAATGCACCAAAGCGAACGGGGCAGAACTTGCAGTGGGAGGGACACCTCCAGCGGCAGACGGGCGCGCCTAGCTTGCCCTGGAGGTTGGGGGAGGAGGAGGCAGAGAAGAAGAGCATCTTCCTTCGACGTTTGGGGAGGACACTTAGGTAAGGTGACCAGACGTCCCATTTTTGGCAGGATAGTCCCGATTTTTAACAATTTGTCCCGCGTCCCGCGACGTTTTAAAAAAAGTCCCGATTTTTTCCAAAAATCGGGACTTTTTTAAAAAACGCCGCGGGACGCGGGACAAATTGTTAAAAATCGGAACATCTGGTCACCTTACACTTAGATTGGTGTCAGAGTGAAGACAAGTGTGGTCCCTGCCTGGGAGCTGGGGCCGCGGCTCTGCTGCAGAGAGACTACCCATGGCATTTGCAGACACTCATCTGATGTGCTCGCAGCATCAGCATCTCCTGCCCGAGAAGACTCACCACAACGGAAAGTCATTCTGACTTGACTTGGGAGTGAGTGTGCACCAAGGAACCGCTGTGCCATGACAGACACGTGAAAACGGGACCCGTCCCTCACACAGCGTCTGGGGCACATGTTTCTCTCCTGACCTCAGGTCCTCCATCAGCAGCGGCCCCAGGCCAGAGATCCGGGAATGAGACTGGCCTCCAGAGCACGTGTCCAGCCTTCCTTTCTGTCTTCGGCTTGCCTTCCTGGCGTCTCCCGCCCCCTCCCCGTTTCTCTGCGTCACTGCCCAGCCCTGGCGCCCTGCAGGCTGATGGGACCTTAGACTTCAGGCTGGCGATGCTTTGAGCGGAGACCGAGAACCCCAGGGTGCTCCCCTTCGGTCCATTAGACTGTCCCCCGTGTGCCGAGGGAGGGAGACCCAACACCGGGTCTGCTTTGTTAACCTCAGGTCATCGCACTGAGGCTCCAGGATGTGATTTTAGACGAGGCTCGTGGTCCAGAACCTGCGGCTCGCGAGCCACACGCAGCTCTTGGGCCCCTTGAGGGTGGCTCTTCCACAAAACATCACGGCCTGGGTGAGTCTATGTTGAAGAAGTGGCATTAGAAGTAGTTTAAGATTTTTGGTTTTTTTAATATATTTTATTGATTTTTTACAGAGAGGAAGAGAGAGGGATAGAGAGCTAGAAACATCGATGAGAGAGAGTCATCGATCAGCTGCCTCTTGCATACCCCCTACTGGGATATGCCCGCAGCCAAGGTACATGCCCTTGACCGGAATCGAACCCGGGTCCCTTCAGTCCCCAAGCCGACGTTCTATCCATTGAGCCAAACCAGTCTCGGCAGAAGTAGTTTAAGTTTAAAAAATGTGGCTCTCCAAAGAAATGTCATCGTCATACTGTGGATCTTTGGCTCTGCTGACTAATGAGTTTGCCCACCACTGGGTGAGGCTGTCCCTTCTGCTGATAACAGGCTGCTGAGCAAAGTTTGGCTGACCATGTGATCAGGCTCAACACAGGCAAGATCCCGAGGCCATGCACAACCACTGCAGGGCCAGAGGCATGCAGGTTGGAAAAAGAAAAAAAAAAATTTTTTTTTTAATTTATTTTAAAAAAGAAAATTAAAAAAAAAGCAGGTGCTTACTTATCTGATAAAAACAAAACAAAACAAAACAAACAAACAAACAAACAAACAAAAACCCTATTGGAACCAGAGAATTAGTTGAGCGGTTTCTGAAGTGAGAGTTTAATCTATTGTGGGCATGATGTTCAAAAGCTTCCTGCCTGACACTAACAAGTCACAGCTACTCCTGCTGGCCGCCCGCTGTTCCACCTTTAAGTGAATCAGACGGGCCACCAGTATGGAGGGCTGGGCGGGGAGCGGGATGGGAGGCCCAGGTCCGCAGGGTCAGCGCTGACCTCTCAGGCAGGAACAGGGGACCCTGAACCCTCCTGTGGAAAGCAAGCATCACCCCCATCCTGCCAGGGAACGTGGCGTCACTCTGCCTGGCTCCCTGAACAGGGACCTTCTCCAGAGCCTGTGGCAGGGCACTGCTGGGCGGATCAGCAACAGTGTGGCCAGGCTATCTATCCGGCAAAGGAGGCAGAGAGAGAAAGAACACACCGAACCCTGGTCTCTCCATTTAATTAACGTGACCTTCCTCATTCTTTCGAGAAGAAAAGCCAGGAAAAAAAAAAAAATTCTTTTTTGAGTTTCATTAAGAAATGGCCTACAATATTATGTTTTAATTAACACGGAATAAGCTTCCTCCCATGGAAATTGGAATTGAAAAGCCTCGCCAGCCAGGAATAATACGTTATTAAAAGCTGCATCACCTACGTCAGCGACATGAGGACCTGATGTTTATAGATTCATCAAGTTCTTAAGTGATCGATATCCTGAAACTCAAACTCAAACAATGTTCGCCTACGGAAACCAGGAGCCTTGGTCCTCAACTGCCACCAAGTTCAACAACCCACAAAGAGTTGAGACACTCAGATAAAACCGGTATTTTTATTTACCTATAGAACTTGGAGGGGGGGGGGGATAGACAAGTTAGAATAGATAACAAATTAGAGAAGTAAAACAATAAACATTGGCATGTCTAATATTTAAAAAAAAATGGGGGGAAAAGGGATCTGGACAAAAAAAAAAAGGTATTGCCTCACCCCAATCAATTGCTCCCCACCTCCCTGCCCCCGGCCTCCCTCCATCCCACAAAGTCTGTTACCCAAACCTTCCAGTCTCTCCCTCCTGGGGTTCTGCTCCGGTCCCTGCCTCAGAGGCAGGAGTCAGATCCTCTGCCCGGTGCCCGGTGCGCTCTGCACCAGCCAGGTCACCGCAGGTCCTCCAGGGTGCAGGCCCCACCCTGGCTCCCAGGCCTCTCCCTTTCTTCCCTCTTTCCCATTGTTGTTGGGTGTTAGGCTCTGACACTGTCTGCTAAGGCAGGGAGGGAGCCGCTGCCGGAGGAACAGGGAGCGGGAGATCGCCCTGGAAGCGCCAGGCACTCCCCTCCCGGGGACAAAGGCAGCCGGAGCGGGGACTCGGCTGGGCTGTCCCCCCAGAGCGTCCAGCTGGGGAGGTGGGGGCGCCCAGCCTCCGCCCTGCCCCTGCAGGTGGCTGGGAGCTCAGGAGCGCCCCCCGGCGACCATGGCCAGCACGGCGCCCCCGCTCTGCCCGGCTCCCAACAATAAAGACTGCGCGTCCGGCCCGGAGGAGAGTCCCGGACGGGGGACCAGGCCAGAGAGAAGGCATCCCCGTCCCCGTCCCTCCCGCCCCTCCAGCCGCCCCTCGCGGGCCCTCAAGTTCCCGCGCAACTTGTGGCCGCGGCCCCTGCACCTGCCGCGCCGCGGGCTGCGCACCCGGCTCCCGGGCCCCGGCGCTCACCGTGCGCTCCGGGCGGGCGGCGGCCGCGGGGCCGGCTCCCGGCGCCTCCGATTGGCCGCCGCGCGGGCGGGGGGAGCGGGGCGGGGGCGGGGGCGGCGGCGAGGACCGCGGGCGGCGGCGGCGGCGGCGGCCCGGCTGCACCTCCGCGCGGCGCCCCCGCCTCCCGCTCGCCCGGCCGGAGCGCGGCCCCACGCGGCGGCGGACGCGGTCCTCGGTGGGCGCCCCCGCCCGGCGGTCCCGGCGGCGACACTCGCCCGCGCTGCGCCCCCTCCGCCCCCCGCCCGCCCCGCCCGCCCGGCGCTCCGTCCTCCGCGGACCCGCGGCCGCCGCCGGCTCTCCGCAGCCGCTCCCATTGGCGGGGGCGGAGGGGGCGGGGGCGGGGGAGGAGCGGCGGGAGGAGCGGCGGGAGGAGCGGCGGGAGGAGGGAGAGGACCGGGGCCGCTGCCGGAGCCGCTGCCGCCGCCGCCGCCGCCGCCTCCATGAGCCGCCCCGCGGGCGCCGCGCCGGCCCTGCTGCCGCTGCTGGCGGCGCTGCTGCAGGTACGGCCGGCGGCTCCTTTGTTCCCGCCGCGGCGGCCGGGGGAGCGGGTGCGGGGCCGGGGGTGCGGGCCGGGCCGGGCCGGAGGGAGGAGCGGGGCCGGGCGGCCGGTCTCCATCGCGCTGGCGGCGGGGCGCGCGGAGGCGGCGGCCGGTCCTCCCGGGGCCGGCGAGCCCGCGGGCCGGGGCCGGGGCCGGGGCCGCAGGGGGGGGGGGGGCGGTCCCTCGGACCCGCGCTCCCGCCCGGTTCCCACTTGGCCCCGTCCTGGCCGCGGGGTGCGCGGCGCCCGCGCGGGCCGAGTTGCGGACTCGCTCCCGGGCCCGGAGCCGGGGCGCCGCCGGGCCCATTGTCTCCGCCGCCGCCCGCCCCCCCCCCCCCCGGCCCCGGTCGCCTCCCGCGAGGTCCCGGGGACTCGCCCGCCCGGGACCGGGACCTGCCGGCCGCCCGGGGCCGCCGCCCGCGTCCGCCGCCCGGGGCCGCCGGGCGGGGCAGGTCCGCTACTCGGCGGCGCTGCCTCCGGGGTCCGCGCCCCGGCCCCTGCCCGCTGCTGCTGTCCCCGGACCCCGGACCCCTGCCCCTGCCCCCGGACCCCGGCCCCTGCCCCTGCCCCCGGCTCCTGCCCCCGGCCCCCTGCCCCTGCCCCCGGACCCCGGACCCCTGCCCCCGGACCCCGGACCCCTGCCCCTGCCCCCGGACCCCGGCCCCCTGCCCCTGCCCCGGGCCGGAGCCCGCACCGGCCTCCGGGGGCCGCGGGGGCTCCCCGCCCGGCGGCACCTGCTCCGGCCCCGGCGCCGGCGGCCGCCAACTTCCCGCCCGGGGCCCCCGCCTTTGGGGCCGGCGGGTCCGAGCCCGGCCCGCGCGGTGCGCTGCGGTTCCGCCCCGGCTGCGGGGGCCTCGCCGCCGACCCGGGTCCGGGGATCCGCCGCGGGTGCCCCAGCGCCGCCCGGGGTGCGGGTCCCCCTCGGGGTCCCCCGGGCCCGGCTGGCACCTGCGGCCGGAGGGGGCGCGGCGCCGGGAGGGGGCCGGGGTCCGGGGGCAGCGGGCCGGGGGCAGCGGGCAGGGGGCCGGGGTCCGGGGAGGGGGCCGGGGCCGGGGGCAGCGGGCCGGGGGCAGGGGCAGGGGGCCGGGGTCCGGGGAGGGGGCCGGGGCCGGGAGGGGGCCGGGGGCCGGGGAGGGGGCCGGGGCCGGGAGGGGGCGCGGCGCGGGGACGGCCCTCCGCTGCTCCCGCCGAGGGCGCGGGCCGGGCCGGGCCCTGTCCATGGTGCGCGCCGAGCGGAGCGGCCGCAGCGCCGCGTGGTGAGCGCCTCCTCCCCGTCCCGGCCCCGGCCCCGGCCCCCATGTGCTCCCCGGGCCGCCCCCCGCCCCCCCAGCCTGGCCGCCGGGCCGCTTTCCTTTCTCCTTGGGTTCCTGCTTCTGCTTTTGTTCTTTGGTCTCTCTCTCTCCCTCCCTCCCTCTCTCTCTCCCTCTCTTCCTCTCTCTCCCTCTCTCTCTCTCTCTCCCCTCCCCTCCCCCCACTGGCTGGCCTGCCCCCCTCTCCCTCCCCTGGCCGCCCGGACCCTGGGGTGCAGAGCTGTCGCCCAGACATTTTTAGCCTCTGCCTTTTGGGGAGCCCATGGAATCCCTTTCAACTCGGGGAGGAGGCCTGCCAGTCACCGCCAACAAAAGTGCCTCCTGTTGTAAAACCCCTTTATTCTTACAGCGCACACCCTCCCTCTCCCCCTACTGTCCTGTTTTCTCCCCCTACTACCCCCTGTCCTTTCCTCACCCCCCGCCTTTCCCTCCCCCCTGCCCTTCCCTCTCCCCCCTGCCCCTCCCTCCTCCCTCCTGCCCTTCCCTCTCCCCCCTGCCCTTCCCTCACCCCCTCCTGCCTTTCCCTCCCCCCTGCCCTTCCCTCTCTCCCCCTTCTGCCCTTCCCTCCCCCCTCCTGTCCTTCCCTCTCCCTCTCTCCCCCTCCTGCAGTCCCTGGCCGCTGTTTTCTTTGAAAGGGGCTTAGTGAGGTGAGGCCTGAGGGGAAGGAGGAAGAAGTGCCACCTCCAGTGTTTGAAGCCAGGGGAGGCTGGTAAACTGCTGTGTCCTGGGCACATCAGATGTTTTCTCTCTCCTTTAATTTCTTTATCTAACAAAGGAGGTGCCGGACATCAAAAGTCTTATTTCTAGAAGCCTTATTTCTGAGCCTAAGCTGTCCTCCTCGCATGAGCCAGCGGTAGGTGGTACTTGTTCACCACTTTTGGCCTGACCGTGAGTTCTGATGGGACGCGGCAGGGTGTAGGACTGGGGAGAGGCCCTGGTCATTGGCCCCGGACGTGGGGTGGCACCCCGCACACACAGTCTCGTCCCCTTGTCACGTACCTTGAGGCCAGATGTGGCTTTCCCTACGTGTGTGTTAAAGGCCCCTTTATAAATGTCAGATATTGTGCTGATCTTTCCCGCTTCTTCTGGACCCTGTTGGGGCGACCTTTCCAGACCCCCAGGGAAGGGGGGTGGCAGCCTTGCCATCCAGCTGGTGGGCTGGCGGCCTTGCACTTCCTGGGGGCAGGTCCAGCGCTGGCACCGCGTGATGTGCAAGGTCACCGGGCAGTGTGTGTGCCACGTGCGTGTCCGGGCGGGGGGCGCCCTGGGGGCTGTGCTGCTGAGGTCGGAAGTGGCTGGGCTCCCAGTCCGCCCTGCTCCCCAGAGGAACAGAGATCCGTCTGCGGTGAAATGGCCCCTCTGCCCCTGGCTGCTCCTAAGTTTTAGTTTTTTATTTTCAGGTCAGACTGGAGCCGGGAGGTTTGGAAAGGACAGTGAGAGGCCATTAGTGTAGACACAGAGCAGCCTTGTTTTTTCCGGAACAGTGAAGTGAGAACCACTGGGTGTCCAGAAAGGACTTTTTACTTTTAATTTTTAGCTGCAGCGCCCCTTTTTAATTTTGAACACTTTTTTTTTTTTCACTTTGAGATAATTCTTCGTGGATTTTGTTTTTCTGTTACCTGGGTTTGCGTATTTAAAATGTCTCTCTTTTTTACTTTAGTTTAGGATATTATTAGTATTGTCCATTACGTTAAAAAATAAAAAGTAAAAATATAGGCTTCACTCACCAAAGCTTTCCTTTTAAATTATCCATGAACAGCTTTGTCATCAGGGGGAACAATCCATTTTACTTCTACTGTCTACCCAGTGAATAGATTAGAAGCCTGTCTTATTTGCCTAGTTCACATTTTAATGGCGTGGCTCTGTTATCCTCATCTCAGTAACATGTATGTGTTAGGATGCATCAAGGACATCAGCTGAAATGTCCAGAGACTCAGAGTCCGGCCTTGGGCCTGGGTGAGGACATAGGAAAGAAGATGTGTTAACCATGTGGGAATTTCATGGTCTGAGGTAAAGACTTGGAGGAGATTAATATTAACACGTGAATCGTCTGTAAAAAATTGTTTGGGTGTGGAAAATCTGGAATGCAGTAATCATTTGAAGTATAAACTATGTTTGTGTTCATGTTTACTTGATCTTCATGTGTCTTAGTGTGTTTGATTTTCACGTGTCTTTGTTATAAGTTCTCATGAACGTAAGGAGAATGAATGTAGTCGGTGTTCACGGTTTATTCTGCTCCTGAGACGTAGTTATGTGTATCTCTGTGCTTTTCTTACTCTGTGGCCTGTGTTATCGCCCCTAGATGATGCATTGCAGACAGACCAGGCACGATTTGAACATAATAATGTGTGAGCCCTAAAATATTTCTGTAGGCATATTTAAGAACATAATGCAAAGTGTCTATTTATAATTTTTTAGGCCTCGATTGCAAATTGGGGATTCATTTACAGAGTGCACTCTTGGGCTTCCGTTCCGGTATTAAAATCTGCTCTGACCGTCTCCACATGGGACTGAGGTTTCAGGAGGAAGTTCTTTCTAGGTAGTTCGTACTTTTTTCCATGCGGAGACTTACGCCTTCCTGGACCAGAGTATTACACCAGATTGTTCTTCGTGTCCTTTTTCACTAAAAACCTTCAATTCTTAAACCTGCAGTGCCTCCTTAAGCTTTAGGGTTATTAATCGGGAAATGTCAAGCAAGATTAAAGCAACAGTTACTCTTGCTTTAAAATGCCTTTTAAAAAAATCCTCAGTAACTCATATCCCCATCCTGTTTTCCAGTGGAAAGTTTCAGGTTAGGAGAGTGATTAAAAGAAAAAAAAAATTAAAGCTGTTATTTAAGAAATATAGAGTCTGTGCATAAACTTCCATTTTTGCCCAAGTTAACGTTATTCAGATTTGTTCTGTTGGCCCAGGTACAAAAAGTAATCAAGTTTAAGCACTTCACAGACTCATGGCGATTTTTATAAGCTATTTAAAAAATGTGGTTTAGAGTTTGGGTTCTGTCATTTGAGTATTTCATATCTGGCTTTAATATGATAGAACTTTCTGGAACCTAAGTATTTTCAAGTTGTATTAAGAACTGTAATTGAAACATAATTTGTACCAGGAAACCATTATGCCTCACTTTTTTTTTTTCTATTAAAACTTAAACTTGTCTTTTTTTTTTCCCCCAGAAAATTATGTCAGTGAATTTGAGTAGATACTAATCTTTGTGTGTTTTACTAACTGTAGATAAATTTTAATTAAACAGCTTTATTCATGCCTGGCAGATAAATGTTTTAGCAAGAGCTATATCTTTTACGTATCTAAAGTGATGGGTTTAAAGTAAGTGGAGGAAAGGCAAATTTAGGAGCTCAATGGAGTTTGGAAAGAACCGGACATAAAGATTGTAAGTTATGTTATAATTCAATTTTTAAAAGAAAACCGAGGTTACGCATAAATACTGCCTAGTTTTCACTTCTTGTTACCCTTCTTAGTGCTCAGTGCACTTGTCTGAGCTTCCCACTGCAGGAGCTGAACCTCACCCTTCTTTATGGGCTGCATGTAAATGTTCCTAGGTTTTCTTTCCCAACATAAACCTCCCTAGAATGGAAATAAATACTGGAGGAACCGCGTAGTTGTGCAATTCTGTATATTGTAATTTTAATACTTA